CAATGGAACACTTTGGCGTGCCATCACTCTAGCATTAAGATCACAGGGTCTACCGACGGCACAATGGGAGTCTGTTCTACTCGACGCCTTGCATCCCATCAGATCTTTGCTCTGTACTGCAACGAACGCCACGCCACACGAACGACTGTTTACCTTTAACCAAAGATCGACATCTGGGACAACTCTTCCTACTTGGCTCACTGTACCAGGACCAGTACTTCTCCGGCGGAGTGTTCGTCAGTCCAAATTCGATCCCCTGGTTGAAGAGGTGGAGCTATTGAATTGTAACCCGCAATTTGCTCATGTTCGCTTCGGTAATGGACGTGAAGATACAGTTGCTCTTCATCATCTGGCACCCAAAAGCGAAGATATTGATCAAGTTGAAAATTCAATACCGGAGGGCGACGCAATTCCTGAGCAACAAGTAAATGGGGATGCGACCACTGATCCTAATATTCTTCGTGAAGAAAATACAACTGAAACGAACAACGGGCGTATTCTTTTGGAAAAACAACAACGTGTACGGCCTTACAATTTGCGTACCAGAGAAGCGTGACATAATGGCTCATTCTTTTTCAAGCTGCAGTGAATGTTATGAACTTTTCTTATAATACGTATCTAATCATATTCCTATCTCTACCGCTATTAACACAGGGCTTGTTGGATGTCCTGGATGTCTGGCCCCATTCAAAAAGGCGTATGAACCGAACTCCGGTCACCGGCTGCCGATGGATAGTGGACTCCTTACTCCACCCTACTGCCTTGTAGGTCACACTTGGCTGTGTAAAGGCTAGAGCTGCACTCTCAAACAAAAGGCCGAGCGATGCTGGGGACATCACTCGTACCAAATTCCCATGAAACTTCATGAACTCTCTTACAAATTGCCGCGCCTGGGCAGCGATGATTCGAGACGTTCATGAAGCCGGCTCATCCTCCCGTAGGAGATAGCCGAAGTAAAGTAAGTAAGTATTAACACGCTTTTTTCCTTTATACGTTTAAGCCATTCCGGCTTCATTGTAAACTGAATAAAGCCTAAATTCTTGGTTCATTTGTCTTTTCAAGATTCAGCATCATTTTCTAAGACTCAGGCACTTTCGTAACACGGACAAGGGAGATCGTGTGCTCAACTCACACAGAACTGGAGAAAGAAGTGAAAGAAGAGTGCTAGGAAAGAGAAAAGGCAATTTTAAGACAACCTGGCCACTGAAGCTGAGAATGCAGAAGGGAAGAGAGTCCTGAGGATATTATATCGGACAACCAAGTATCTACCCGGCAATGGATGAACACAAGTGAAACCTATAAAAGATAGCCAAGGGAACCCAATTACCAAGGAAGAGAGATAGATTAAGCAGTGGGCGGATCACTTCAAAGGACTCTTGAACCGACCACCACCTGCCACCCGTTCAGAAATACCAACAACACCACGTACACAACTGCAAGTTGACACCCATTCTCCAACAAAAACTGAAATCTTTAATGCAATCAAGCTTGTGAAAGCTGGAAAAGCAGCTGGACCAGATGGAATACCCCATGAAGCACTGAAAGCGGACCCGGAGACTACAGCAGACATGCTGACTTCATTATTGCAAAAGGTCTGGAAGGAGGGAAAGGTCCTACTAACTGGAGGAAAGGTTATCCCGTGAAACTACCAAAGGGCGACTTAGGACGCTGCAAGAACTGGAGAGGAATCATGCTCCTGTCGACGCCAAGCAAAATCCTGAGTCGCATCATCCTGGAGAGATTAAAGGGCGCAATGGATACAGGCTCCTTAATTAACTCTCAGGATAGACGCCTTGAACGCTGGAAAGAGCACTTTGAGGAACAATTTAACTTGCCTACAGCCACACTGAACCTCCCCGCCATCCACCACGTACCCGAATGGGATATAGACACTGGTCCGCCGTCTGTAGGTGAGGTTACAAAAGATATCAGTAATTTGAAACGAGGCAAAGCGGCAGGACCCGACGGAATTATTCCGGAGGTGTTTAAATATGGGGGTGACATACTAGTTTGTAGATTAACTGAGGTACTAGGCAAAGTGTGGGAATCAGAGACAGTTCCATCAGACTGGGGTAAGTCACTTATTATACCGATATTCAAGAAGGGAAACAAGTCCTCGTGTGATAATCATAGGGGGATCAGCCTAACGAACATAGTCTCTAAAATCCTAGGCTCAGTAATCATGCATAGACTAAGCAGAACTCGGGAGGAACAGACAAGGGAAAATCAAGGAGGCTTTAGACCAGATAGAGGGTGCATAGATCATATCTTCACTCTTCGACAGATTCTAGAACATAGACACACTTTTCGGCGTCCAACAATTGCCATATTTCTTGACTTGAAGGCGGCCTTCGACTCAGTGGATCGAAAGGTACTATGGCAATGTCTGACTGTTAAGGGAGTGCCAAGAAAGTACGTTGCACTAATCAAGGCACTCTATTCAAACTCACGTAGTCGTGTAAGGGCTTATGGGGAATTGTCATCTGAATTGGCAACAACCAGTGGTGTCCGACAGGGCTGTCCACTTTCCCCATTTCTGTTTAACTTCATCATAGATATGCTAATGGAAGTATCCTTAACTGAACGTAGTGACTTAGGAATCGACTTGTTACCAGGGAATAATCTTATGGACTTAGAATATGCAGATGACATAGTCCTGTTAGGGGAGGATACTGAAAAAATGCAGAGTCTTCTGAACACCTTGAGCAGCAATCTTCGTATGTTTGGCATGCGATTCGCCCCTGCAAAATGTAAGATGCTGCTACAGGACTGGACCACGTCAACCCCTAACTTAGTGATAGGGAGGGAAGTGATAGAACATGTTGACCACTTCACCTACTTGGGAAGTTGTATTAGCACCAACGGACTGATTGGCGATGAAATCTCAGCACGGATCCGAAAAGCTCGAGCTGCTTTCGCTGACTTACACCATCTCTGGCGTAGGCGTGACATCCGGTTATCAACCAAGGGACGTGTGTACTGCTCATCAGTTCGCTCCGTCCTTGTTTATGGCTCTGAAACATGGCCAATACGCGTTGAAGACATGAAAAGGTTGACTGCTTTCGATCATAGATGTCTGCGATCTCTGTCTCACGTTAGGTGGTTTCACAAGATAAGTAATGTTGATGTTAGGCGTAGAGTGTTGGGCAAAGAGGGAAAATCAATCGACGAGGCTATAAAGTTACATAGACTAAGATGGCTAGGTCACGTGCTGCGCATGCCTAACCACCGCCTCACCCGACGGGCTTTGCTAGCTGATATAGGTTCAGGTTGGAAAAGAGCCAGTGGTGGCCAAACAAAAACATGGCCTCATCAATCCATGAAATCCTTGACAGCTAAACTGAGTCAGGTAGGGAGATGCAGACTCCCGGGTTGGGGCCCTCGGGACTCTAGGAATCAATGGCTGGAGACAATAGGTGACATGGCTCAAAATCGTTGTCAATGGTCAGCGCAGATGTATTCAGTCTCTGTAATCGAGTACTACGCGTACCCCCAACATTCATCAACCGTATTCAACAGCTGTACGACAACGGCACATATCAAGTGATCCACAAAGGAAAACTCAGTGAGGCGTTTGGAGTAAACACAGGAGTCAAACAAGGGTGCTTATTATCACCAATGATATTCCTAATTGTGGTGGACTGATTGGGGTATGCGTCAGACAGTGGGAAACGAGAAGACAGGGATAACCTGGACCAACGTGAAGAACCTAGAAGACCTGGATTTCGCGCGTGGATGATTTATGTTTGATGTCACACAAAATCGAAGACTTACAAGCGAGCGAAAACCGACAAACTGGTCGAAGAAGCAGCCGGCGAAGACAGGACTCCAGGTGAACATGGACAAGACGGATGTTATGAAAATAACCAACTAACAACGACAACAACAGCAACATCCAGCGCCAATCACCATTAACGGGAGGGATTTGAAAGAGGTTACTCCATTCATTCACTTATCTAGCTAGGGAGCATTGTCTCAACTACAGGAAGTCGGAACGGACGAGGATGTCAGTCAAATCGAGCGAGAATCGGGAAGGCGAGAAACACATTATTCATCAACCTGAAACCAATCTGGAAATCTTCGTCACTCAGCTAGCATCAACAACAAAATTCCTTCGGACTTTAAATACAAACGTCACGTCAGTCAATTCTTCGATACGGATCGGGTAAGAAACTTGGCGGGCGGGCGGGTAACAAAGAGTATTTCCAACAGGCTGGCTATTGCAGACCTTTATCAACAACTAACTGTCAACTATCACTCTATACTGAATGAAGAACAGATGGCCGGGCCGGAGAGAATCACCAAAAAGAAACTATGGGAACAAACAAACAAAACAACAACCAATCGTCCAACAACAACAAATATGCAGGAGAAAGTGGAGATGGATTGGATACTCGCTGAGCAGGAGGCCACTGGGCGACATCGTGCGCGCGTCAGGCCATTGCTCGAGTGGAACCAGGCCGAAAGGGAAGCGGTGAGTGGGATGTCAGTGCAAGGGTGACACGGGGGAGATCGTGTGAAGAGGAGTTGAAACAGTTTGGACTAACTAACGTGGATGCAACTGAAAAGTACAGCAGAAGGAAGACAGAAGCAAGTGGAGACGTGGAGTTGAAGCTTTATGTTCCACTAGGAACCCAAGAGAACAATAATAATAATTGTCATATGGAGTCCATTACTCATAATTTGCAATGAGAGAAGTCAAATACATTGGTGGAAGTGGTAGACAGTGTTAAGCAGACTCTGCTATAAAAAAACCCAGAAAGTACAGCTGAAGCATTTGATGTAATCACATCGTGCAGATACCTTCCTGTTGGGTGGTGTATTGAGTAAAAAAATTATTACAGCTTCAAATGCTACCAGACTGTTACAGTCTTGTTGATATATTAGTTAAATACAGGGAATTCTAGTGGAACATTATATTCCAAAAATTAAAATAATAACGACTCCGTACAAGTGCTTATAATTAGTGGACGTTGTAGATAATAAGCCATAGCACTTACTGCAGTTAATATATAACAAGCAAAATACATTTAGGGAACCTGTCATGACTCGGCATTGCACCAGAAGACACTGAAAATATAAGGATTTCCTTATTGAAGTTAGCTTAGTTGACCACAAACCTGTGTACTTTAGAAAATTAGATCCAAATCATTTGTAAATCTTACGCGGTCGAAAATCGCTAACTTCTTCATTGTGAGTGAAGAAAGGATTATTCGAATTCTGAAATTTGAAGAGCCCGTGCTAACAAAAATGCTCGCATACTCTGAACCAACGCTTTCTTCTACGGTGAATACATTCTAAAGTACCTTGAAATTGTGGGCAAAACCAGGCATAATGCTGTTTTTTCATATTATTCGCACTAACTTATCATTGTGTGTTTTTAAGCAGTACCCGCAGTAAGTCAGTGCCTATAGAGACTGGTATTTTTTCAGCATCATTACAGCGCTCTGAATCTCGATTCGGAATTCCGAATTACTTGACATTGTGTACGCTTGAAACCGATATAGTCTAACGTTTGTATCGGTATTACAGACAAGCACAATAAAACTTATCGCCTAAAGGTCAGATTGCGGTCAAAATTGATGAAAACCTCACAAATTAATAACAATGAGTAAAGTACAAACCATTTAGAATTCAGCGCCACCAAAACAATGCGGAAATTCCTATCAGAGCATTAAAACGACCAGTAAGAGACATCAATTAAGCATTGCACTGTTCTCCATTAAAAATGTCATTATTAACATCATGCTGAAAGCGATGCGTTTGTAAGCCTGCTGACGTATGAGGCGTGGTCTACCGCTGGTGGGAAGTTGGAGGGAGAAACAAACTCACCAGGCAGTCGTAGTGTTTCGCCATGTACTGGCTCGGCGCTAGTACAACCAGCATCGGTTTTCAGGGCGTTTTGAATCCCCAGGAGAAGTAACGGAAGGGATTCAGTCCAATGTGTATTGCTTGCAGCTGACAAACCAACTTTCAACTGTCTGTGTAGATGTTCTACCATACCATTAGTTTGAGGATGGTAATCCTTTGTTCGAAAATGCATACAACCTATAATTTTAGTCAGTGCGAAAAATATTCCGCTTTCGAATTGTCGCCCGCGATCAGTTGTTATGTAAGATAAGCATCCAAGGTTCACGATCGATTTTTCCACAAAGACGCGTGCGACTGTCTCAGCAGATACGTTCTTGAGGGGTACTGTTTCAGGCCATCGTGTGAAACGGTCAATTCAGGTTGAGATATAGGTATATCTATGAGACTCTGGAAAAGGTCCAACCAAATCTGTATGAATGTGTTCGAAACGAGCGTCAGGGATAAAAAAGGTACCAAAGGGGCTTTTGGTGTGTTGCACTACCTTGCACTTATGGCAAGCTAAGCACGCTTGTGCCCACTTCCTAACTTCTTTATTAATACAAGGCCAACAAAACCGACCGGTTACGAGCTTGATGGTAGTTCGAATACTTGTGTGGGATAAGCGATGACTTTTAGGCACGATGGGTCAAGGAGTACTTGTGGAAATGTCGCATAGGATAGTATCTTTTCCCATACCTGAGAGTTTCTCGGCTAATTGCGGAGTTGTTTACAACAACTCATGTCGAAGCTCGTAAGTAATGCCCAGTGAATATGGTTTTGTGAATCAACACAGAAATTACATTTGCATATTTAGGAAGCTATAACCACCAAATATAATAATAATAATATATATTCTCATTTTTTACATGAGGGACGCCAGTTTACAGGCATCATCAATTCGATAATTTACACATAATATTAATAAGCATATTTAGTAAAGATAATATAATAAAGTACATTTTTTTCCCTAGCTATGTAGGGTACACCAATTATATAGGCATGCATAAATATTGTTTTAATAATAATAATATATTCCTTCCTGTTTATGCAGGAACATACCTATTGTACAGGCATGGATAAGTTGTCATATAAATTACACATAATTTGATGTATAATGGATTTACAGTTTGGTTGTTCTTTCTGGCATTAAGTCAGTCGGAACAGTCTGCTATAAAGTCTGTTTGTGTAGCACATAAAGAGATATAGAAATATTGTCTTCGCATTAACAAAAAACCCAGACATCACATGAATGTAATACAGATATCTGGGAAAAATAAAGCTTGAAGTCAATTCTCTTATATAACTTTGTTGTGAACAGCACCCATGGCTTGAAGTTTATTGATGTATTATGTTGAGATCAGTGATATATTTATTACATTTTTCAGCAGTCTTATCGTAGTTTCATAACAGGAAAGAAATTTTATCGTGGAGGCGAAAATTAGATAAGGTCATGTCGGGTTGTTTTACTGCATCAAATGGTCCCGAGGTCGATTCCAGAATTCTCCATTTGCGCCATTTGTGTCTGCATGGCGGACTGTACTCGTAAGTTGAGTAAAATGTTGAAAACCAGTTGCTTCTCTATTTCAGATCATGAATTCTCATTTACATCGTGTCCGCCACCTTTTTAAATGGTAGAATTGGATCGTTCCTGGAATTTGAGTGATTATGGGATAAATGGTTTGGAATTAATTTTTGATTCAGCAACCGGTGAATTTTTTATTCTTTCCGATCTAGTACCAGAATAACTGCGAACCATTCCATTCAATATGTCGAATAAGGCACGCAGGAGGAGATCATTACCATGGAATGAGTCAACTTAATCTGAGATGCAGCTTTCAGCATGTCCGTTATATCATAGATATCCAGGTTTATTTGCGCTGTAGAGGCAGTGATTTGGATTATGACGTATTCTACAAAGTCTCCGTGCCCATTTGAAGTATACATGTGCTTTGAAAGGATTACTTTGTTGGCTCCTACCCCCACTGAGTGTTAACAACAGTTGCTGTGGGTTTATGTATTTCCTCGCCTTTTTGGATAAAACATCGCCGCATTCTTTTTGGGTAGGAGACCAGTTGGTGGATTATATATGATATCCAAGTAACTTTTATCTTTTCATGTGGTGTTGCGGTAAGTTTCTACCTTGTTTTCTCATATTTCATTCGTATGTTGATTATGGTTCGCCCTTTGTATCAGGTAGACATAGTTTGAACGACTCTCGGTTGAATGGGTGTTATTGTTATGACTGCTGCTTTTTTGTCTGGAATTATAAATAGAGACAAAACAAACAACAGGTGTAGTCTCTGAGTTCATACATTAAATGGGCCTATGATTTCTGAAACTCTTACATGGGAATTACCATTGGTATCAATTACAAACTCACTTAGTGTGTCATTAAGTGCCTTTTCAAAGGAGGCCAATGTGTTTGCTAGTCGTATTTTCTCAGGTAGTTTGTTCCATATTTGGGCATACCTAATCAAGAAAAACTTTTGCCTGGTGGCTGTTTTACATGGTTCTATAGCCAATGTACCTTTAGTGTGCCTAAGGTTGTATCCTGTGTTACCTGAGGGCCGAGTATAGTTAGCAGGGTATACACTATTTGTAAGCTGAACATGCCTCAACTCTAAACAGCTATGTACAATGTCAACAGCATAGAGAAATACCTAAAATATCATAAGATACACAGACCTATTAAGTTAATGAAGATAAAAATGCCATGTAATGCAGTCTAGACGTTCAGTTGTGGTACTATATTTGTAGTGCTTCATGGCCGTCGGTGGCCCAGTGATTAGGACTCTCGTCGACCATGCACATGGTCCGAGTTTCAATCCCCTGCCGACGCACACCTGATATCTATGGTCGGCCTGCAAAATTTGGGCTACTGATATCACATGCTGAAAATTCCATACTTGTACCGAAAATACGGTGTGGAATCAAGCTGTAATCAAAAATAAAATAAAAAATAATTATTTCAATTTGTTTTATTATCCTCATTTTCCTTGTATGTAGTCGCCGATCCTCTTACTGAAACCATAGTAATTTGACCGAGGGCATTGAAGAGGACTGCACAACAAGATAAGAGAGATGAACGATTCACAAAACAGCACATCTTCAGTCACTTTGATGAATACATCTACATAAACTATTGCAACTTAGCAACTGATACTCTTCACCATAACTGGGACGTATTTTTGAGTCACTTCAAAGAAAGATAATCTGTTTAATGTGTTTTCATGCTTTTTCTCCTGAATTTACGTCTTTTTTTGTGCAAAAATTCCTTACTTTTATAATTGGTTGACTGAGAGTCACTAGTGCGTTTGCATCCCTTGGGACGCTATTTTTGAACTTTGCCGCTGTTTGCTAACTGATCGTCCACACAATGGTTTTCACGTTTATTTTACAGTCGTTTGCGGCAACACTAAGGAATAGCAGCCCACACCCAAGCGAACGGACAAATGACCTTAACAAGGACAACTTTGACCAATCAGAAGGCTCGATGAGCGACGCATAATTGCAATAAGTCGTTCGTATATAAGTAATGCATTGTTGAAAAATAGTTACAAGGGACAACGTTCTCGTATATGTCGCGAAAAAGCCTCCTAATTTCTCAGAGGAGTTTTGATACTCATGTTAAATCAAGTCCTGTATACGTAGCGGAGTGGCACAAGGCGCGGTTCTCGGGCCTTTCCTATTTATTCTGTATATCAGTGAGTTACCTCTGCTCACCGACTCCCCTATGGTCCTATACGCAGATGACTTAAAAATTTGAAGAGAGCTAGAGGGTAACAGTGATACGCCCACGTTGCAAGAGGACCTTAACAAATTGTCGGAGTGGTCTGTTGAATGGGTGCTCCCGATCAGTGTGGTAAAATGTGCGACCATGCGCATTGGACAAGCAAGCACAAGCTCCTACGAATTGGAGGGAATAACACTTCCATCAGTTCAGACTCACTTGGACTTAGGTGCCATAGTTAGCCACGACTTAAAAACTGCAGCACACTGTCGTGCGGTAGCTGCACGTAGTTTCAGGTCCTTATGGGCGATTCGCAGAGCCTTTACAAGGATTACCAGAGATATGTTCACCTCCTTATACACATCTCTGGTTAGGTCAAGACTGGAAAACTGCATCCAGGCCTCCAGTCCTTGTCTAAAAAGGGACTCACACATTCTAGAAAGTGTTCAA